ACAGGTAAATGAAGGTGTCATTGCATGGCAGTTATAAGAATTGCTGACATTTTAAATAGTGCATAAAACTTAGTTGTTTTTAGAAGAATTAAATTAAATGAAATCTTCCCACATATGAATTTTACCAGTTTTAAGACTTCTTGAGAAGATGCTGGCTGTGGTATAGGTATCTTTTTTGTTGTTTCAGTTTGCTGTGAAGGCCCTGAATGGCATGGGGAGAATACAAGCACAATATGCTACTGAARGACATTCAAAGAGTGAAAGCAGAGTCACTTTGCTACTTGTATAGCTTTGACTTATTATGTACAGAGGGATGCATTCAGAATTGTGAATATAATGCTAATAGGCACACTAAAGATAGGGGACAGATGAAGGGAAGAAAAAGTGAACACAGGAAGGAAAATTCAATAGCAGGGCAAAAATATAGTAAGTGGTTTGAAAAGAGCTTTGCATCTCTCCATGGGGCATGCATATGTGGATGGAATGTCTACAGTCAGAAAGTGTTTCTATCTAATTAAAACATTTTCAGATTTTCCATGTCCTCTAAATGACCAAAAAATGTCAAGATCTCCTCTATTCGAAGCATTCAGTGGCACATGCACACACAAAAGGAAAAGAAGTTAGCAAAGACCTAATGCTAAAAGATATTCAATATTTGCTGAAAGGAATTCAGTGTATAACACAGGATTGGGTCATATCAAAACAGACTGATATCAATGCTGACTGCAATGTCATCTATGAAGACTAATTCTGTAATCAGTGAAGTTGGTCTACATTTGTATCACTGTAAGTGGTCAACAGAATTCATTGCACTATTTCCAGCTCAAGCCATAGAATGACAGTTTCAAAGATACTTGTTTACACCAAAAATAAATAATCATAGCCTTGATACGCACAGAAAGGCAGAGGTAAAAAATGATTGCAATACCTAGACTGACATGAAGAAGTGACTTAGAGACTACTCACATCAACCCTAAAACAGATGAGCCATCCTACCCTATCTATATCACGCGGTGACTCCAAAACCACCTTTTCAGGATCTTTTCTCAACCTCTCGCCACAGCATAGACTATCACAGATTCTACTTAGATTTCTCCAGAAAGTAATCTCCTTGCAGTTGCAAAAAAAGAAAAACACTGTGAAATGTATGAAATGTAAGGACAAAAAGTTCCTTATAGTCTCAAAGGAGCTGACAGAGACTTAACCAGCCAACTTCCACAACTGTACCTGTGGTAGGTAAGTATTATCGTCTCTACATGTTTCCATGACTCACCAGTCTGAAGACATATGGCAGAGTCGAGAGTGACACATAATGAGAGGCACAAGCAGGAATTCACAAACTAACTGCCACCATCCACTTCTGTACGAGAGGGGGAAAGTCATGACTGTGACTGACTCCATCTACTCAGTACGGATTATGAAAATTATAGCACTGACTCCAAGAAGTCTCGTAAGTAAAATGTTCAACTTCTGCAGTTGCAAGCAACCTTTTTTTTTTTTTTTTTTTTTTGTAATGCCTTTTGATCAGGACAGAAAAAAAAAAAAGCTCTGACTTACACAAGCAAGCAAAGCAGAAATCCACATGAAAAGCTCTTGTAAAACTCATGTCCAGCTAAGCCATATTTAAGCCATATTTGCCTCAGAGGGTTGGATGCAAGGATTTGTAGCAGAAATTACAAAAGGGTATAAAATGGAAAAAACCTTGTTTACATCCTTGTCTGTCCTATTGTTTTGGGGGGCAACCTGCACCTTTGTCACAACCTTTTTTATTTAAATCTTCCAGAAATCCAGCAGCCCAATAAGACTAGAAACTGCAGTGGAGTCCCAGAAGTCTTTCCAGGAGGTAGACAGTGTTTGCAGGAGGGACTTTCTCTGACCCTGAGATGGAAAAGACTGAGTGATTTACACCCTAAAACATCTTATTTCTTCCCATAGATGATAAAAGGCTGTTAGATGACTAGCTCAGGGGGAATTCAATGTCAACCTCGAAATTCTGGAAAGATGAATCTTACCCCGCCATCATGATTTGAAAATCCATCAGTCTCCAGTAAAACTGATAACATGGTAAGAAGATTCTCTCTTCCTCCGCTATCCTTCATTATTTCACTCAATCCAAAGATAATTAGACCACTTGCAAGTATGTTTGCATTTATATATGTGTGATATCTAGATATAGATATCTGTATATCTATATAGATATAGACACACACATAGATATCTATATAGATATAGATATATAGATATAGATACACATAGTTACTCTTCACTCTCCATCTTTACTACAGGAAATTCTGCTCCTTTCAAATAAGAACAGAAAAAAATCTGGAAAAAAAAAGTCTTAATAGAGATGATGTGTACAAACATTCTCATGACAACTTTTCATTTATGCGTTTCCTTTACATTTGTTTGACTTTCCTCTTCAAAGCTTTAACCTTTCTATATTTATCATTTTCACTTTCTGTGATTTTTTCCTCAATGGGCTGGTTTTGAATTCCATTCCTTCAGACCATCTCCTTTACCTTTTTGGCCTGCCTTGACCTATTTATTTTTCTTGGGACAAAAATTTCTTCCAGTACCTTTCATCAAGATGCTGACAGTCCTATCTCTCCGAGTCCTATTCCTAACTTTTACAGCTATCTAGAAGAAATCAGGTCAAGCTTAGTCATCCCAAATCTATCATCTAGCATCTACACYGCTTAATCACTCTTCTAAGTGGTGTCAGTGAGCTGTATGCCTCTGTGCCACTTAATGTTTGTATGAAACATGTTTTATAGAACGATGTATAGAATATTCCATGAACGGATCAGAGAGAAAGTGACCTTCATTAAGCCAAAGAGATATTGAATAGCCAGTCAACTACAGGAGATGACACTGTGATCTAACATAGTAAGACCACTCATTTCAGCTAAATGAGTCTTCGCTCTGCCAGTCTCCAGACTACCTTAAATAAGTGTGAGGGGAAAAGTAGTACATAGATTTTGAGACTAAAGACTAAACCTTTTCAAGACTCTCTGAGAGACTTCCTAAAGGAAATCACCTCTGGTTAAGCTAATGTGTTCTGCCAGGAATAGGCTCTCTTTGATGGATGTAACCTGAAACATAAGACATGTAAGGATAAAAGAATTCCTTAGAAGATATGCATCAGGAAAGCATTTAGAGTAAGTCTGCAAGAGAAAGGGAGGCAGAGACCTTTCTGATTTAACTTTTGTGTAAGAAGAGCAAGTTCTTCAATTATGCTTGTAGAAATATTTATTTCTATGTAGTCCATTTGGTCATAAATAGTTACTGATTTTATTTGCATTTTATCTGAGGGCATGCTTCCCTAGGAATGTAACCTGAGGCACTGGTAAATCTTAAGTGCTGCCGGAAAGGAACAAGTGTCTTGAAATGACATGGTAAGGAGGAAAGCACTCTGTCATGTAGAAGGATAGTGCGATGCACACCTAAACCAGGAGACTTCTACAAATGTTCTGTAAGAGTGTCCTAATAATCTCTTTTCACCACAGACCTCTTCCAGCTTCATGTATTCCTGTCTGCAGATTCTTCCCAATGTCCCATGACTTTCTAGCAATGTCTGTATGTCTAGCAATGTCTGCACCTGGAAATAGTGATGATGTGACTCCCTGAAAAGTTCAGAAGATCATTCTTTTCACTGTGATAACTTTTTCCACTGTTGAGAATCTGACTCTCTTCTTTCACTGGATAATTCCTCTGCAGAGAGTAATGACATCCCTTCACAAAGACAAAATACCACATCTAGTGGCAAGTAATGGTATGAGGAACTATCTAACGTGTGCACGCTTCATGCTTATCTATAGAAATTTAGCCCGAGCAGTAATTCAGCTAGGGAACTGGCAAAGATATAGATGTACCTACATACAGATAATGTCCAGAAAATGTCAGTCTTAGACTTCAGAAAGGATTTAGAAGAAATAAAGAATCYGTGGCTGTACCCTGCTAACAGCCTCTGTGTATGTGTGAGCACAGATACCTCATGGACCACTATTTTCTGACATAGAGAATAGAAGCCTTGAAACAGTTCAATGAAAAAAGTCCAGTGAAGACTCTTCCACCTCATTTGCACTTTGGAGAAAACACACATATGTTCAAGACCTTGAGTAATTCAAAATCCAAAGGTAATCAAACCTTCGGTGTTGATAGCAACATGATTATCGTGACAGAATATTGATTTTGCAATATATAAATTCCATTAGTGAAAAAGCCATTGTTTTTTCTTAAGAAAAAAAATAAGCCTTGGCAGTTATTAAGCTTGCATTAATAGAAATAGAAATGGATTCAGCATTAAGAGAGGAGTATACTTTCCTCAGGTACAGTAAATGTTAACTCAGAAGTTTAATGAGCCAGTGCAATGATTTGCTGAATTCAAGAAAGGCATGTGGTATCCAGCTGGCCAAGAGTGATTTTGACTCTCTGCCACCACAAATGCAGAATTTAATGTCATTTAATGTTTGTGGAACTGGACCAAAACATGAATAAAAAAATCATGCCAATCTAGTGCAAAATAGTTGCTTGGTTTCAGGTTTTTTTACTTGTTTTTCACATCTTGCAGCTGACAATCAGACAACTTTCCCAATGACAAAGTTTGGCCTTATATCCTGCCSGTTCTGGTCCTGACTGAATGACCGCTGAGACGGTGAATTGCTGATCTAATTTCTGACTTTCTTCTATAAATGAACTGTAATAGGGATTTGGTAATTGGGAGTAGACGTTCATTTACCTCAAGAGAGAAGGAAAATTTGCCTGGCACTACAAATAATATCATTTGATTAAATGAATAAAAGCACTGCAGAAGAAACTTTCAGAATAGTTAATATATCAGGACCACCAAGTCATAAAAGAGGCCTGCTTTTTGCTTTTGAGTTTTGTTTTTTACAGGGTTCTAATTTGTGAAAATAATAGAAATAAAAAGGATACAAAGTTCACAATGGAACATATTCAGTCTGTTCATATTTAGAATATGAAATAATTGAAAATTGTACCTTTTTTGTTGGTCTTAATGTATTGCCATATGAGAGAATTGGTCCATAATTTGGCCCCTTCATGAGTCAAATGTCCCTATTAATTTGCATAACTATGACTTTCAGTTTCTCCTCTTCATTTCCATGGAACTGAAAAAGAAAGGAATATCAGCTTCCCCACTGGGTGATACATAGCCTCCAAGAATATGTCTTTCATACGTCTTTTCTCCATTTACCAAATTCATAACAACGTAGAGATGAAAACAACTTTGTGTTTCAGCGTAATTACTAGAAATATGCTCTAACATTGTTTACTGTTAAAATATTGAGACTTAGTAAAAGGATGCACTTACCAGGAGCTTAAGTTTGTAGATGGAGAAATGCCTTTGATCCCTGTTACATGCWCCAGGTGGATCAGGATGCCTAATCTTTTGGGCATCCAGGGACATCACATGCAACGGAAGCTGTCAGTGAAGACTGGGAGATGGTTCCATGTCTGGTTGCTTTCTCTGTGAGAATGTCTTGAAAATGAAGAGATTTCTTTTGCCTTTTTATCACCATCTTGCAAAAAGCACAGATGCAACTATTGGCAGGATTTCTCTTTGAGAGTATTATGAAGTTAATAAGAGTGAATCTTGGAGGTGTTTTGTTTCTGGCTTCCTGTCTTTTAGGCTTACATAAATCCTAATATAATCAACTCTCAGAAGCAGACAACGGGAAAAAAAGAAAGCAGTAACACCTCTTGTTTTATCAGTTTTCTGTTCTGCTYATTTATATACACCCCCTATACTTCTTCACTAGGAATCAACCAATTAAAGATAGTTGCTTAAAAACAGAGATGCTTAAGTGACATATATCCTTTGAATATGATTTTTTTTGATGTTTTGAACAACTATTCACACAGAAAGATCTCTCCTTTATTATTCCATAGGTCTGTGTTGACCACCAAATAAAATATCTTGAGTACAGATTAACTGTGGAAAGAGAAATCTGAGACAAAAAGAAATCATATAAATATGATTTATAAATAGATAAATATTACTGCATCTACAGAACTCTCCCCTTGTTGGCTGTTCAGTTAGCACCATCACGGTTAGGATTACGCTACCAAATCCACTACCTTTCCTTTGAAAATACTTACCTGCTGCCCTCACCAGCATGATGTCCACATTCTTGCACAAGCATCTATGCCCACTTCATTTCTTTTCCATTTTAATGTTGTCCTTCTCTCACCTGGAAAGTTTGTGTATTCAAGTGATGCACAACTAAACTGCAGAAAGTTACGCATTTGGTGATAGGTATCTGCTTCAAGCTTGGTTTAGGATCTTGACAGATTCAGAATCAGAGCAATTCAAAGAGAAAAGGGTTCTATAGTCATATAGCTACTTTTGAAAATTTAAGAAGTTTGTTCTTCCAGAAAATTCTTCAATGTCTTTGGTGTATAGCCAGTACAACAAAGTGGTGAAATACGAATATTTATAAATCATCGCTACGTCAAAAAAATTATAAACAAGCATAAGTTAGACATTTCTGCATTTTATTTTGCTTGGAAAAAAAAGATGTAGGGTAGCTGACCGAACTTAATTAGTCTAAAGTCTAAAGGACTGAAAATTGAAATTTCAGAATGTAGGCAGAATGGCAAATACACTGTGGGAAGCATAAGGGCTCCTGCACATTTATAGACCCTTTGACCTGCAATCACGCCTAATGAAAGCGCCGTTGACACAATTCACCCACCAACCATGCATCGAAAGGTTGCCATGCGCCGCTACACGCTTTCCATGACAGGTAAATTGCTTTTCTCATCCTTTCCCCACAGCTTTCCTGTCATAATGGGGCTTGTGCAAGAATTTCAGTTTTCGTGAAGGTTTGCAGGCAAGTAAAGAGCAATAAATTAAAACTGTCAAGAGCAGAACCAGTCATAAGTGYAAGCAGCTGCTCGCAGCATCAACCTCAAGACCTTTCTGGGTCCTTATAGTGCTTCCAGACATTCCGGCTGAACAGAATCAACAACTGCAAGGAATAAAACCAAACTGAAGCAAAAAGCATGAAATAATATGGAGAAATAAATAAAGACATATAAAAACTGAAAAGAAAGGAAAATCATGAAGAGGAATGAAAGTCAAAAGGAGCAGGGCAGGAATATCAAACAGAAGACTGCAAAACAGTAAGTGACTSACTTTGGGAAGCACGACCCAAAGAACACAGCAATGTGCTATGCAATTAGGATAAAGTGTTACAAGTGTTTTACAGTGCCCAGGAACTTGAGCTGACTGTATGCACAACAGCATCTGCAACAAAAGACTTGCAGCCACATCCCAGAGCCATGTGCTTATTGCCACAATGAGCATGTCTCCTATTAAAAGCAAAAGAAATTGAAAATATATAAACATATGCAATATCATAACTACGAATTGAAATTGCTGCTACCTGCTATACCACTTGGAGCCTACGAAAGGCAAAAAAAATCCTAATATTTTTGAACTGCAGATGAATTTCATACAGTCACACTATTTTTGTCATATTTGTTATTTAAATTGAATAAAAAAGGCATGTTTTCTGGCAATTCCCTCAGCCCCAAAAAAGACTTGTCTCATCTTGTTCTCTCAACAGTCCCTGCCCCACTTACATCCTTACACTTTAGACCAAAACAATAACATTATTACTGCTGCTATTTAAAATGTCCACAACCGCTATTTAAAATGTCCACATCGAAGCACACTGAACCTAAAAAGGGATGCATGTACATAGAGGATTTTTTTATAACAAACAATATTTCTGCAAGATGCTTAATAGCACTTCCTTCCTTCATATATTATGTAGCTAAGCCTTTCTGCTCTGTTTGCTATGCAACCATGCAYATTGGCGGTTTCATTAGGGGATGAAAATAAATAAGTATTTACACCATCCATTGTGTTGTGGTGAGAAAACACGAGGCAAAACAATATATGGTAAAGCAAATCTCAAGAGAACCAGTTGTTCTTTACAAGTGTCCTGAGCCTTTCCCTTATTACTATGAGACCAACTAAGCAGAATTTTGCAGTTTCCACACTTGGAGCTTCATGGACTTGTGCAGAGAAATTCAGACCTTCTGTTTGGCTATATTTCTTCTGATAGACACAAAGAAAGCTGGCCATAAAGATATGTGAAAGCAGGAAAACATATATGCCATGCATGACTAAAATTACCTCATGACCTGCAATTCTGTGCAGTCTTACATAATATTGTCCCAAAAATCACTGAGGGGCCAGAGAATATGTTCTAGCACCATCAAATTAGAATTGCTTGTTCTAATGTGACCTTGCAATTCATGCTTTACACAAACAACATCCATTTGGTGGCTTCAATGCAATAAAAAGCTAATGAAATCGATTTTTTTTCAGTATAAATCTCTATATTCGTGCTTACTTTTGTCAGCTAAGAGCTTTTGTGAATTCTAAAACATACTTTTAAGAGTCCCAAAGGGTAACTAACTAATGCCCCTAACTCTAAATATACCAGCACATCCAGAAGGAGCTACATGGCGGTTGGTATTTGTTTAATATCTGATCAAAAGACAAACAAAAATTGGCTAACAAGAGTTCCCTTACCACCCTGTTGCTAGGCTTACCCCATTGCACAGGCAAAATCACACTGCCATTATATCATCCTAGGATTCAGCTGGCAAAAGTCACCAAAAGCCCTTTAGGGAGCAATTTGAGCCTATCCAAAGGATTGGTAACTTCTCGTCTCACTCCAATTAAATGTCTGCTGCTTAGGAACTCCTGTACTTTGACTCGGCGAATGGCTGCACCACCCTGGTTACTTTGCTCATTACAGTGCCGGACACCAGGAAGCAAGGAAAATCAACTTCTTATTGTTTCGGTTCATAGAAAATATTCTAAAAATAAGCCAAAAGAGCATTTAAGCAACATTCATTTTTCCTCTTCTGCATAACTAGGATTGACCAAGGAAAACGTTCCTGATTTTTGCGTAAGATGTGCAGTACACTGCAAAATGCATAAGCAGGAAGGTGTTTTATGGAGAAATAAGACACACATTTTTCTCACCACAGATAATTCTCCACTAGATGATATCACTGCAACCACGCTGAAATAATTTGAAACATGCCAGTGAGCAGAAGCAAAAAAACTGGCCAGTGCTTTGGGTGATGTATTTACTTCGGTTCTGAAGCAAGGTGAAAAGAGCAATCTTTCTCCTCAAGTCTTAAACAGAAACTTCATTACGCTCACCTAGCTGAAATGTAACTTAGGTTGATGGTGCCACCTGGTGACAAGTTGCACCCACTGTTCCCAAACCTTGTCAAGCAAGGAGAAACACATAGGCTATAAATCTTCCCCTGGAGAGTAACCCCCTGAACACGTAAAAAGTGCATTAGCTCCAATAATTACTCACCCTAAAGAGCACAAGGGGTTGTACACACAGGATGAGAAAGAAGGAAAGAGAGAAAAACAATCAATAGCAAAGCAAATATTTATCAGCAGGCTTCATTTTAGGAAATACCCTGCAGTTTGAATTATTAGGTTGTGAAAGGATGTCTTTAATATTTCATGAAGGGAAAAGGGAGAAAAAATGACAGTGATTTACGTGAATCTTCAGGCAGGGGAGTGGGGGGTCTAGCTCAAAAACTTGTTGTTCTCTGCAGCTGTGTGGGAGACCACAGCACCACTCCACAGGATTTCCCTATCCCTGTGACTATTGTCCCTAAATGAAAATAAGCATTTGGATGACATGATTTAGTGTCTTCTCTTTGTTCCTTTGCTGTCAGTAATAACTTGCAAGAGAAAATAATTTCAAAGCCATAAATTGCCATATAGGCCTCTCAGTGGTGCAACACAACTATGAAAATGTAAGTGGGGGGTCTCCATGTGGGAGGTTGACTCTTGACTCATTTCCCCTCCGATAAATGAGGATTTATACTACATATATAACCTATTTGTGGTGGAACCAGCACCTGGACCAAAGATGATAGTAAGTGGGACCGCGAAGAGACAGGCTTTGGAGAGAAGAGCTGGAAATTTTGCTCCAAAAATTGACCAAGATTTGAGTTATGGATGAGAGCAATGATTTCTATGCAGCTCTATTCATAGGCAACATGTAAATTCCTACCAATCACTGCACAGCCACGATCTTTATTCTACAGTGATAAAACATACAGATGAAATCAGTCACTTAGAAGTCTCAGAGCAACCTCACGTCTACTTAAAATGGCAAAGCTACACTGTTGCAGCAGCATTTTGTAAGGAAACAAGAAAACACTGGACAACTTTAACTGTATTAATGATATTTGTGTTCTTGAATAGAGAAAACCTGTATTTCTCATTCATCCACAAGGCACTTTGCAGAGTGGGATTTCCCTTCCATGGACTTCCATTAAGAACCCCTTTAATTTAACGATATAGGAACATTTCAGCTGAATTATGGACATTCTTCTTTCAGTAACCTCTTCCACATAATTTAGTCACATGCTCCATGTGCAAATTATGCAAGTATCCATATGCTTAATTTGTATGAGTATTTAACTAAACTGGCATAATAAATATGTCTAGTTATATACTTTCAGTAAGTGTGCAGCTGTCTGGAAGGAGGTG